CAAAACAAGTGCTCTTTTACTAGTATTAGTAGATGTGCACACCCACATGGATGTACTTAAAATATGTAGCAGTTATATAGACAGTTACAAATGATCTATGACCTGTTTCTGTAGAATAAGACAGAAAGATGGTATAAATACAATAAGGAACGAAGAAGGGGAATTTAGGAATATAAAAATCTGGCATTGAAGGAAAAAAGGTCTTAAGACACCAATAGAGGTGTTCCATTTGTATATCGTAGTACAGATAGGTGGATATGTATATAATTATATCTTTATTGTCATAGATCAAAGAAACGTTACATAACAGTAAAACATATATAAATAAGAAAAATGGAGAGTGCAAACTATATTACGGTGAAACTTCTTTCATCCCAATGAGGTTGACACAAAAATTTAAGTCCAATCATATGCAATTACAAATCGAAAGTAAAAAGTTTGAGAGGTTCCAACCAAAAATTCCTAAATGAAGCAACAACAATTCCAAAAATTCCTAACAAAAAATACTACAATATCAAAAAAATATTCAAAATTCAACATCAATGACCAAGATTCATTTAAAGTATGGCCCACAACAAAAATTTTGAATATACACCATATAGTTTAAATTCATGATATTCTTGTAGTTAATTTTCTGATTCCTTAGACTTGTCAATTCAAAAACAATCCACACTACATGAAATTACACTTTTGCCGACTAAAATTTTAGTTGCAGAAAGGTTGTTTTCAGTTGGCAAAAACATTCTACAACAAAAAATTTTAGTCGCCACTTTGGTCACTAATACATGGTCGAGGAAAGTAATATGCAACTAAAAAAAAATATTAGTTGACAAAAATAAGTATTTGACGACTAAATTTTTTGTCGTTGAACATATAACTACTGTGACTAAAAATGTCAGTCGCCAAAGTACTATTTCCCCGACCAACAATATAGTCGCCAAAACTATAATTTCCTGTAGCGCCAAGTGAATAACTAGAAAGAAGAAAACCTTAACCAAAGACACTAGTAGCAACAAACCACATAGCAAAACAATTGCACCTGCCATAACCAAGAAAACAACCATGGAATGGGAATTGTTAATTCCATGCTTTGAAAATTTTTAAAAGATACTTCTAAACTATTCCGTTCATTTTTTTAGGTTTCAACATGTAAATTATCTATGAAAAAAATAGGTTAATTAATCCAATAATCAAAGCAATGTAAATTTATCATCTACGTCTACTAAAACCTAAAGGATGAACAGAATAGTTTTGATCATCAAAGGCATGTAATTTATCATCTTGGTTCTATAGATATTGCCATGGTGACTCAACATCACATTAACAAATAGCTAAATAGAAAGAAAATCGTAAGTTTAGCACACATAATTTATATAGTTATTGTTGTTATGCATAGTTTGATTATTCAAGAAAAATTAAACAAAATAAAGTTCAAATCCAAGTCGATAAATGTTTCGACATTATTTTATCCATGGGAAACTTCCTTGAAGATTTTCTTTTCAAAGAAAATCAAAGTTGATGTATGGAACATTTGCACCACTATCAGGAGCTGAAGAAGGAGCATCTTTAGATTTGTTAACTTGCCCAAGGGTTATTTCTCCTTCTGCCTCTAGATTTTCCTCCATCTCATTCTCTTTATTTTCTGTAAACAAATCAAAAATTGAATATAATATAAAGAGAATATAAAAGAAAATACATGAAAACATTATTATTAATTTTGGTAAAGTTAAAATCTATGAAGCATGGACACATACACGCAACACGACATGGATATGACACAAACATGCGGACACACCAATTTTCAAAAAATGCGTAACACGATACGTGGGAGACATGCATGAATATGTAATTTTATATATTTTTGATATGTCATATATATATGAATATGTTTCAAAGATAATAAAAAAATGCTATGTGTCACTAATTCTTATAAATTTATATGATTTTTCTGTTATTTTTGTATCTTAAGTTATTTTGTTTAAACTTATAATTAGTTTCACTTGTGCCTAATTGATAGATACATGCTTAAATGATAAACACGTGTTTTTCAAGTGTCCGAAGAGTATTGGAGTGTTTAAAAAACTAATTAAAATATGAACACATTTTGACCAGTGTTGGACACATATCGGGAAGTGTTCAAAGAGTGTTGAAGTCCGACATGTACACGACACAGATACGTCACCTTCTTGGAAGTGTAACGCCCCAAAAATTGAGAACATCAGAGAATATATTAACAAATAAATATAAAGTTCTTCTTAGGTTACAAGTCTAGGGAACGTCACTAATGAGTCATTTAGTTAATAACCAAGTAAGATCCTAAGAAAGATCGGAGGAGTTAGGCCTCGTTTGGAAACCTTCTATTTTAACAAAAAAGTCAAAAAGTTACTAAATTAGCCAAAAAGTCAACAACCCATACCAAAAAGTCAAAGATTCTTTTTTCTCTCTGCTTTTTTCACATCTTTTCGTAAAAAGCCAAAAAGTCATCCCGAACATACTAGTTTTTTTAACTCATATTTTAGCCAAATAGTCAAAAAGTTACTAAATTAGTCTGTTCCCAAACGAGGCCTCAATATAGTCTCCCTTCAAAATCCAATCTCCTTGGATAGCAAAGTTACACTTTTAACAGATTTTAACAAGGTATTAACACAAGATCTATATAAGTTGACAGAAGGATAAGGATAAGTTCAAAAAAGATATATGTATATATAAGTAAAATAATAATTACAAGATCATATCTTAATTATGACAAAAGTTTTAACACTTACAATCCTAAAACATTATTACTAATTCCTATAGGATAGACATATATTTTCAAATGTTTTGCTTCACCATCGTCCACGTAAATTTCGTCAATACCTGGCATGAAACGCCATGAGCTTAGAATGCCCAGTAAACGCACATACTTCCCGTCCATTTTTCCTAATCCAATACACAACCACATTTACAATAAAGAAGAAGTATAATAATCAAGTAAACAAGCAAAGGATGCCTAGTAACGAACACACTTTCCGTCCATTTTTCCCAATCCAATACACAACCATATTTACAATAAAGAAGAAGTAAAATAATCAAGTAAACAAGCAAAGGATTACAAGTAACCACAAGAATTGGACTCAGATTATTCAGTATGCCCCTTCTTTTATTGCTTTACAAACCTTACCTGAAATTGCTACAACGGTTACATACCGCTTAGCGCCAACCGAAGACCTTAAAAGAGTTGGTAAAAATATATAACCTCGTCCAACCTTATCCATCATAAGTACCTAGGACCTGAATACAACTGATCCATTCAATGGTTCCAAAACAACCATTTGCACAAGACTTAACCTTCAATAGGGAACACGTCCCGCCAACCAATTCAAATGTAATACAAGTATTATCTTATGAAATTACTTAAGTGATCGAAAACCCATTTACCACCCCAATTAAATAATCCATTGAGTTAAATATTTAAAGTTAAGGTTAGAACAAACTTGTTAAAATTTTAAAATTCCGTTTAACAAAACTCCTTTCAATTGTATTTTTATTTGCTCATTTGTTTCAGTGAAACTATGAGTGTTTAGATGTGAATCCAACCCGAATTGTGTTAGTGTAGAGGAGTTTGTGCTAACATTCTGTATCTTGAGTATTCTCTGTTTGCCACTTCTCTGATTATGTATAGGGATCAAGCTAAGCCAAAGTTGGTTGACCGCTCGAACGGCCATTTGTGCACTCGAGTGACGAAGTGGAGTTTTCAGTATTTCAGCTTGCATTCAGAACTTCTGGAAACCTTGTATTACCGCTTGAGCGATGAAATGTGCACTCAAGCGGTTGGCCTATATGTTTTACACTGCCTTTACTCACACCACTCGAATGGTCAAGTGGTGGCTCTAGCAGTCAGCACGACTTTATTTACTATAAAGTGCATTGTTTGCTATTTTTAGGGTTTAACCCGTCCAAATTCTCAAAGAGAAAAAAATACAATGTATTCTACATTAGAAGGTGTTTTTATATGAGTTTTCTTAATGTATAGAAGGTAATCGATTAATCAACGAACTATAGAGTGTTGAACATCAAGGCGGCCTTGTTCTACAGCATAAATTTAAAGAAATATAACCACAAACATATGCAGATGTCATCTTAGTTCTAAAAATCGGCCGATACGTATAAGAAAAATAGGGCACTGCGACGGATACAAGCAGGTATACCGCTGAGATTGAAAATCGCAAGCGTATCGGCCGAGTCCCGGTACGTATTGGTTCGTAACCGTTACACAAGCCCTGACGGGCTGATACTCACAGGTTTGGACCGGTACGGGATAGAAAAAGCTAAAAAACCTGTGAAATGATTTTAAAATTTCACCGCCATGACACCTGATTCCCAATACTACCGATCGATACTACCGATACCGATACTCCGCGATCGATACCGTTACATTACTCGATATCGCAATTTAGAACCATGGATGTCATACTAAGATTTAAACAAACAATAAGGAGTATAATCAAGTAACTAAGAATATGAAACCATTAACAAAACAAATTTTCATATTTGGTTCACTTTTAGAGATCACTATCAAAGTAGCATTTTCAAATTTTTTTGAACTCAACCTTCTTAGGATTTGTAAAAAAATTTATCTAGTTAGAAGATCATTTTTCAGAAATAAGATTGTCTTTTTAAATTTTTAATTATTAAAAAAATACTCTAGTAATGACTAAATTCGTTGTTTATTACGAAATTAGATTTTTTCTCAAAGTGCTCACTCTCTTTTAACAAATGCAATTTTACTTGAAGATTAACACTTAAAGAATGTCTAAATTGGAAAAAAGAATTTTAACAAATAAGGGGAGTTATATATTATAATTTTTAATTAAAGAGAATAAAGTAATATTAAACGATATTTAGGAGATATCTAACATTTAAAAATAAATAAATAAATAATTTCTTAAAAAATGTGCCTTGTTTTTCAAACTTAAAAGGTCAATTCATTCGTTCGAGGTAAAGAATTCAAATTCGTTGATGGAAACAAAAAGTAGTAGTCCGTTAGGAGCATATGAAAAGTCACGGACAGAGAAAAGCACTTTCGAGACAAAAACAAAAACCAAATATGAGAAAATTCTGAGATAAGACTTCGATTCCAACATTGCAACGGCTTGTGCAACTGAACAAATTAGAGAAGACGATGCTTCAAGGGATGAGAATGGTAGAGAGAGAGAGAGAGAGAGAGAGAGAGAGTGAGTTTAGAGAGAGAAACAGCTGATGCAGAGTAGAAGAAGAAGAAGCAGAGCAGAAACAGAAGATTTTGGATTGGAAGCTGAAACAAAACTACCCAAATGTTGTCTTGCTCACCAGAGAAATCTCCGAGCTGGTCTCGACTCTGGCTCAAGAACAAGAAAGCTCTCAACCATGTAGTCTTCGCTATGAAGCTCCAATCTCTCTCCAAACCACCTCTCACCAATATCACCCCTGAATCTGACAAAACCCTAGTGTTCGATCGCTCAAAGCTCGTCTCAGATCGAACCTCACTCCTCTCCGACGAGCTTCTCCTCCGAATCCTCTCCAAACTCCCCCAATCTCAGAGAAATTCGATTTTTCTAGTCTCCAAACGGTGGTTGAATCTCCAAGGCCGTCTTGTTCGATCCCTGAAGCTTCTTGATTGGAACTTCCTCATATCGGGTCGATTATTTGCTCGATTTCCAAATCTTATTCATGTTGATTTGGTTCATGGATGTTTTGTTTCGCCTCGAAACGCAGGTATTCTGTTGAACCATAAACTAGTTTCTGTCCACATTGATTCGAATGTTTCTCCAAATGGGTTTATACCACAGAATTCCATGTTGTCAGATGATAAAATTGATTCTGGATTGAAAGTTTTAGCTAGTGGGTATCAAAATCTTAGAAAACTCATGGTTGTTAATGCTAGTGAAATGGGGTTATTGGGTGTTGCTGAGGAGTGTCCTACATTGCAAGAATTGGAGTTGCATCAGTGTAACGATCATGTTCTGCGTGGGATTGCGGCGTGTCAGAATCTTCAGATATTGAAATTGATTGGTTTTGTTGATGGGTTTTATGGGTCTTTGGTTTCAGACATTGGTTTGACTATATTGGCAGGTGGGTGTAGGAGATTGGTGAAGCTTGAGCTCAGTGGATGTGAAGGAAGCTATGATGGTATTAAAGCAATTGGGCAATGTTGTCAAATGCTTGAAGAGTTGACTCTAACTAATCATAGGATGGAAGGTGGGTGGTTGTCAGCTCTTTCCTATTGTGAGAATTTGAAAACTTTGAAGTTTCAATCATGTAAGAGAATTGATTGTAGTCCGGAACCTGATGAGCAATTAGGTTCTTGCTCGACGCTTGAGTGCTTGCATTTGGAGAGGTGCCAATTACGGGACAAGCGGAGTGTGAGAGCATTGTTTCTTGTATGTGAAGCTGCTAGGGAGATTGTTTTCCAGAACTGTTGGGGATTGGACAATGACATGTTCAGCATTGCAGGTATCTGCAGGTGTGGGGCTCTCTTACTCTCTTCATTTACTTTGATTGCCAAAAATGGGGAACAAAATTTACTTCTATTGTCTGATTGACTGATACTGCTGGAATTCTAAATTGCTTGATAGTAATACTGCTGATGAACTTCCACTAAATAACTAATTCATAGTTTCAATCTCTGCATATGGTTTCGACAATGTGCATCTATAATATTTTTCTAATCGATCAGATAGGAAAATGGATTTTCTATTAAGCAAGAAACATGATATCCGCATGCTCATTCAATTAAACCAAAAACATAAGCTGGAAATGGGCCCAACAATATATCAAGCTATTCAACACTCCCCCTCACGTGCAACCCCCTCTTGCACTTGAGACGTAAGCATCCATATGTACAGAAAATAAATAATGGGAAGTGAAAGACGAAAGAATGCAAACGGGGACCAAATGAAAACAGAGAGATTTGAACCTAAGACCTCCCCAATTTGAGCTCTTATTCCATGTTTAGTTTTTGGGATAATTGATTACTTGACAGTTTTTACTCTTTAAGAACTTTAAAAACTAGTCAGCATTTTCAACTTTTGTTTGTTGCAAGGACAGAAAAACGCATGTCATATAGTGGTAATGCTGCTGCAAAGCGAAAAGAATCAATTGATTACAGTGAATAAATATGAAATAGTATCTTATCAGTTCATTTAGAAAGTTCTGTGATCGGAAGCTTAGTATGTGTTACATATTTTTCAGGAGGGTGAAGTCCCTGTCTTTAGAAAGCTGTTCGCAGCTAACAACTCAAGGCCTGGAGTATCTGATTCTTTCTTGGAAGGAGCTTCAAAGGCTCCAAGTTGTATCTTGTAACAATATAAAGGACAGTGAAGTAACTCCTGCGCTTTCAGCTTTGTTTTCTGATCTCCAAGAATTGAAGTGGAATCCTGATAGCAAATCTCTTCTTTTGTCGAGCTTTGTGGGGTCTGACATGCGAAAGAGAGGTGGCAAATTTTTAAAGAAGGCATGAGACTCAACACCCTGTACCTGATGTTTAAAATCTGATTTTCTGATTATATACTTGTATGATTCACTTGGTGGATGCAAAAGCTCTCATTATTGTACTGTACCATAATACCATTATTTATTTGGATGATTCACTTGGTGGATGATCAACATGTATTTTGATTGCAGAAGATTATATACATTTTTTATGTAGTAGAAAATGGGTATTTTGAATTCTGTAAACATGTCAGTGACCTACCCCTGTTCAGTGTTGTTCGGGAGGGTCACCGACTCACCACATCCACTTTGATAAGTATGTTGATTAACACCACTGTTTAGCATTGCTGCAGTTTTATGAATACTTTTATTGCCTTCTTTCGCCTCATTTCTCATGCTTGCAAGATGACATGAATGAGCAAGTCGTAGGACTTATTGAAGAGGCTGTCTACTCATATTCATGGCACCATTGTAGTATTCTTTCCCTTGTTCAGTTTTCACACATCAATGCCTGTCTACTCATATTCAAGATGTTAAGACCGTCTTGGACTTGGAGTTTGAGCACCTCATGGGATATGTTTCGATGCGCCAAAGAGTTGCCCCTTGACATAATATTTTTGTATTCACACAGAAAAAAAAAGAAAAAAAAAGAGGCTTAACAGAGTGATTAAATACCAGTTGCAGTCAATTTCTTATCCTGTGAACCTACTTCATAAGCAAACACAATTTAGAGCCGTTCATGGGTCGTGACCGGTTGGGTTTGGTGGTTTTCCACTACTTGAACGGACTAACAGAGTGATTAAGGCCTCGTTTGGCAAGAGGCTATTTTAGTCAATTAGTCAAAAAGTTACTAAATTAACCAAAAAGCCAACAACTCATACCAAAAAGTCAAATATTCTCTTTTTTCTCTACTTTTTGCACATCTTTTCGTAATTAGCCAAAAAGTCATCCCAAACATACAAATTTTTTTTACCTATCTTTTTAGTCAAATACCCAAAAAGTTACTAAATTAGCCTGTTCCCAAACGAGGCCTAAATACCAGTTGCAGTCAATTTCTTATCCTGTGAACCTACTTCATAAGCAAACACAATTTAGAGCCGTTCATGGGTCGTGACCGGTTGGGTTTGGTGGTTTTCCACTACTTGAACGGACTCTATGAGTTGGAAATTTTTTCAACCAATTTTGATTGTACTATTATTCGAAAACGCACTGTTCAAAACCGATTTGAGCAGTTGGGTTTAGGTCAGCTTACTTCTGTATATACATGACTATAGTTGTGACAAGGGCTTCTGCATGTCCAAGCTACAGGGCTATGGAAAATGGACTCCCCCAAGTTTCAATAGAACAATAGGAGATCCTGTGCCCAGGTCAGGGCTCAAAATGAGGAGCAGGTATTAAGTTATTCAAACCTGATTTGATAACTTAATGAGATTAAAATTATATTCAAGCATGGTTTGTTTATATAATGAATAGATTTTGAATGAACTTTTCACGAGTCGAACACGAGGAGAACTTGAGTAGCAAATAAGCTTATCGAGTTACGTAGTAAGTTATTCCAGCTTGATTTGAAAATTTAAATAGCTTAAAATTATATTAAAACTTAACTTATTTACAAATAAATTTCAAACAAATTTTTAATGATTCAAACACGAGTGAAATTCAAGTAATTTGATTCGTTTAATAATCAAGATAAGTTACAATTGTACCTTTTATTTTTTGGGGGGTTAAAATTGGAACTTTCATTAAAACAAGTTGCTTTTTATTTTTTAGATAGACATTAAAACAAGAGGGATTACTCTCAAGTGGAGAATAGAAAAAAAAAAATTATAACTCACTCGTGGGGGGTGCAAGTGAAAATTTTTAGGGATGCACTTGCACCCTCCATATTTCTGTAATTTTTTTTTTTCTTATACTCCACTAGACAGTAATTCTCCCTTAAAACAAGCTAAAGAGTACATTATCCTAGAATATTTGTCAAGCATCATTGTAGGATTGATTTGTCATTCATGTCAAATATATAGTAGAAGATTGTTATTCTATCGATTTAATTTGCAAGTATATATGCTGGAGCTTCGTTTGTCAATAGACTATTTTAATTAAAAACCAAAAAAATTATTGCAAATTGTGACATAATTTTTTTTTATTTTTTTACTTATCTTTTCTTTATAAAAAGTCAAAAAACTGCTAAAATAATCAATTTCTATCAAAATTTTGTAAGGAAAACTTATCTGTTATAATTGTTCGATTGAAATTTTCTTCGTAATGTAAATAATCATACCTAGTGAAAATAAAAGAGAAAAATAACTATTTTATTTTGTGCTGAAGATTACTATGTACTATATCTTATTTTTCATAAAATATTTTTAAAAAGTTCATTGTTCCGTGTATGTTGCTCCAATTAACCTCTCATTTAATATAAATAATAATTTCGTAAATATTTTTAATCTAAGTAAAATTATATTTTTTTAATTATAAAAATTATGATATTGTACTCAAAAATCATAAATGACAATGAAAAAATAATCAATAAGTTTTTTTTTTTAATTTGAAAATTAGTATTGAGTTATATCAAATTTTAATATTGAGAAATATTTCTTTTTTTTTTTTGTAAACTGTTATAAAAAAAAAGTTTAATTATTTATAGAGTAATGGTATACAAACAAAAAAATTCATAGATAATGATGTGGTTCATGGAAAATTCTATTTCCACACACCTTTTCTTCTCTATGCACATTATATCTCAATTCACACACTCATGAAAATAGTTATGTGTTATTATTCTCATTCCACACCACATATTTCAATTATAATCCTAACTCGCATTTTGTACACACAGCACCTAAATAGGTTTTTCAAATTTTTAAACCTTGCAAACCATCCAGAGACTCAACTTTTTCACACACCCACCCACGGCAACAAACCACAACATCTCTATTGAAGACCCTTCCAACAAAACACAACTCCATTGAACACCTACATTAAGCTCTATTTCATTGTTGAGCAAAAACTAATCAAGAGCTAGTTGAAATAAAAATAAAAATAAAAACTTGAAGATGAGAACGAGAAAGGGGGTTAATTTGGGTGTTTATTATACCATTGCTTCAATTTCGGTGAGTTGACGAATGACAATCAAGAACAATGACATTATACAACACCTTCAAATCCATCTAAATCGCACCACCTAGCTTTGTTTCTTGAATCTTGGCATCCTTAGATCGAGTAAAAGCAACAAAATCTGTATCTAATGTCTAATATTAATTTCATATGAACGATGGAGCAATGGAAAGTGTAACAATGGAGTGTAGTAAGTAACGGAATACAATAGACGAAGTGAGAAATAATGGAGAAATTAGGTTTTAATTTTTGTTTTTCTAAAAGATGTGTTTTGAGAATTATATTCTTTAAAAAAGTGTACAGAGAAAATATAGATTTAATTTGTAGTGATTATTGAAGCCTATTATGATCATTTTATTTTATGGTAAAATGGTTATAGAGACAAAAAATATGTGGAAATAAAATTTTCCGTGGTTCATTGTGAACTTTTTACTTCAAAATAAAACACCATTAAAGATAGATTTATTTACAATAATAGTATTGTCACATCATTCTTATCAAGTTTTTTTTATGAATTTTATGTATGTTTAGAATTTTCTTTATCGATAATAGTATATTTTATTTTAATTTTATTAATATGAACCAAAATTTTCATAAATAATTTTAATTTATTTAATGTTTTATACAACAATATTTTTAATTGTTCAAATTAAATAAATTTTTATAAACAAAAACATAAGTATAAGATTCATCAATTACCTCATACATTAAGAAATATATACAAAAAAATTTACAGTATTATTTTTTATAGCTCTTAGTAATTTTAATAGAATTTAGCCATTTTAGATTGTAAACATAATTTGAAATAAAAAAAAAATGATGCATTTTATAGTATAATTCAATTGTTATTTATGATTTTTTAATTAATATAATATTAATAACTTCTGAAATTAAAAAATTTTAATTTTAATTAAGTTAAAATTATTTGTAAAATTATTATTCATATTAAATGAAAATGGTAAAATTAGATAAGATATTAATGAATTATTTGAGAACATTTTATAACAAATAGAACTTTTGGGATGTGCTATATAAGTGCACTTTTTGATTTTTTTGATTAAAAAAGTAGAGAAAAAAGATATATGTTTGGGATAACTTTTTGAATTTTTACAGAAAAATGTGTAATGAAATATAATATTATAATAAAATCAAAATGACTATTTTACCCTTCTGACTTTTTGACTTTTAATTTTTTGACTTTTTGGATAGTTGAATTCAAATGGTAAAATTTATTTTACCCTAGTGACTTCCCCCACACTACAAGAAATCAAGGTTGTAAAGACAAAATTTTAGGAACAAAAATTTTTTGTCTATAAAACCTATATTTTTAAGGACAAAATAAAGGACTTTAAAAAAAGAAATGCTTAATCATATTATTTTATTTTTAAAACGAAGCTATTTGCTTGCAAAAGAGTTAATGACTTTTTGCAGACCTCTTTAGTTGGTTGCCAATAAACCTAACTCATACATTTTTTTATTATATTTTCACTCTTTGCACAATTATAATCGGGATTTCATTTCCTCTTCAGACCCCTCTCTCTCTCTCATCCCTAATTTCATTGTTGATTTCATCCCTGCTCTTAGAGACTCTGATCAGTGGTTTGTGGATTTCGTCCCCGACAGTTTCGATAATTAGTTTTTTTATAATTAATTTGATGGTTGTGAGAAAAAATTGAAATGATTTGGATGTAGTATTTTGGCTTCGTTAGGTTATGTGAGTTGGAATTAAATTAGCCACTAAAAAATAAAATTGATTAAAAAGTCAATAAAATAAAATATTATATTTAAATTATAATCATTATACTTTTTCTTTTACAAAAGTCAAACGAATTTTTTAGTCCAAGTTAAAAAAAAGCCTCAATTCCAAAAAGCAAACTAAAAACTTTTTTTTTTTTTTGTAAAATGACAACTATTTTAACATTATTGATTATTTTAGCCCAAACAGGATTGTAAGCCGTGCATGTGTATATTTGTCTTTACTTTTCTAAGCCTTGTGGGGAAGTTAGCTATTTTAGTTTTTGATTATTTTAATAGGTTAAAATATTTATATTTAGGAAGAAAATTAGATTTTTTTTTTTTTTTGTAATTAGATGAGATATTTATGAAAGAAAAAGTTAAATGATTATAAATTTTAAAAAATAAAATCAATTTTTAACTTCTTAAACACCCCCAATAATTCGGGTATTTGGCTTAGTAATTGTGTAATATTTTTATAGTATAAGGTCTTGGATTCAAATCCTATGAAGAGAAATTTGATACCCTTTATAATGTAGTGATACATTTCTCTCTCATTATAGGGTTGATTGTGCAACAAAAATACTAGAGATTCTAAAAATTTTACCAAATGTCTCACATAAGACACACTTTATATGAATTCTACACCCATATAAGACATTTGATAAAACTTTCAATAGAATTTTTGACATCTTTAATATTACTTGATTGTACAAAGTTGTTGGGCTTGGTGGCTTTTGGTTATTAATGGTTAGACTTGCTAGTTATTACTTGATAATGATCCATTCAATTAGAATAATGGTTGGAATATCAAAATTTTTATTAAATATTTTTTATTAAAGGTGGGTGAGTCCCACCTAAATATAAGATACATTTATGTGACACACTTAATAAAATATTTGATAAAAATTTTAAAACATGAATAATTAAATACCTCACATAAATATAAGATTTATGAAAGTACAAACCCCACGTCATATAAGACTTTTAACTATTTATTTAATAAAAAATTTAACATCCCTAACATTACGGATTTTGTAAATATTTGTAATGATCGTAATTATTCTCCTACCTATTTGACACAAAAAAAAAAAAAAAAAAAAAAGAAAGAACAAACACCCCCCTAATGACATTTTTGGTTCCACGCAATAGCTCTACACACAGACAGATACAGAGAAGAAGAAGATGAAGAAGGAGAAGGGAGTGGTGATAGACGACAATCAGAGCCGTAATACCCATCAACATGAAGATGACTTCCCTACCCCTGCTATCAAATTCTCCACCCGCAATGCTTCCTCCAAATACGATTTCGTCAAGGTTCTCCCTTTCTTCAATCAAACGATTTCATCAACCCAAACCCTAAATTACAATTGGGTCTTTCAATTTTCATGAATCTCATGCTGGGTTTTTGTTTTTGTTGTTTTTGTTTCAGGTGAAGGTTTGGTTGGGTGACAATGCCGATCACTACTATGTCCTCTCTAGATTCTTGCTCAGCAGAATGTTAACTGTCACTAAGGTCTACAACACCCTCTCTATGATCCAATCATTTCTTGTGCATTTTCTTCAAGTTAGATAATTCTGGGTCTTTGTCATATTAAAATTTTAATCTTACTTGAGATGCTCTGTTTGTTTATTGTATACTATCATATCAAGCAAGACCAAGTTTGGACTTAAAAAATTTAAAAAGCCAGACCCTTTCTGGGTCTCCATTGAACCATTTAACTTTAAACTCCCCCAATACATTGAATTCTTTGCAAATTGCTGTGAGACAACCAAATTATGTTCCCAAATCGATATATGTATATATATTTGCTTCTATCATTCTATGGTTGCACCTGAAGTTCTCTTTCTTTGTCGGGATTGTGGCTGGTGTATACATGTTTGTTCTGTGCGCATATGTGTTGGTTGTTAATTTAACTTTATGATGTACAAGCTATATATGATAGTGTTGTTATTAGGAAGGTAGAAAATTTTGGTGGAAGGAACATAGTTTGCTACTATGTACCACCTCATCTTGATATTAAAATACTTACAAGTAACTAATTAATGTTTATTATATAATATAGAGTTGTTGCTCATGAATATTACATCCGCTCTATTATATTAAGGGCATAGACCCATTTTCGTGTTTCGGTGTGGAAAGTGAATAAAGAGGGTGACAACAATTGAGGTGAGGAAGATTTGGCATTGTACTTGTCCACCTGGAGTCCTGTTGAATGTGGGTGGTAGACCAATTAAATTGCCATGTTGTTTGTAGCCCATTGATGTTTTGACGTTTCTTTTAACATCTATAAATGTATTTCTTTGTTGATTTTAGTTTGTATTTGGAATTCTAAGATTCCATCTTCATCATCAATCCTTCTTGACAATACTTTGGAGTTATGAATCATGATTTTTTGGTTCCAGATTCCCAATCATGTGGCCATTAAAATTGCCCTTGAACTCAAAAAGCTGCTCATAGACAATAGCCTTTTGGATGTGTAAGGCATCATTTCTCATCCTTTCTTTTGCTATTTATGTTTCCTTTTATCTCTTTTTCCCTGTTCTCCTAGGTAGTAAATGCATTAATTGAATGTTTTGCAGCTCTCAATCCGATCTGGAAGCAAATTTGTTTAAGGTATCTCACTACCCTAGTGCTTTTTCTCTCCCAAATCATGTTTATGTATTTTTTTTTGTTATTCAATTCTGGTGTCGCTTTTGATTCTCAACTTTTTTGGAATCCAAAAATAGATGGTGGGAATGCATATGAGTTGGCTAACATTTAGCTAATGAGTACGTTAATGTCATGCAACGTTTAAATTGTACATGACTTAAGAGTGACAAATCTAACAAGGTACTTCCAGTGTTGCATGCAATCTATTGACATGTTGTATTGGTGTCAAATGCATAATTGCTACATACAGTCATCAATATTAGTACACTTCCCATCATATACAGTTTCTTGCATTCAAAACCTGCCTGCATCACCTCCACTAACACATCCAAGGTTAAGGGGATGAGATTTGGGCAGAGATTTCTCAAACAAAAGAAAGTTGAATTGGCATGTCTTTATGCACATTATTATATACATGCTAGTTTGTATGATTGCAATTAAACAACCATTCTAATGCTGTTAGAGCATTTTTTCTGAATTTATATAGATATCAAGTATAATTGAATGAAGCCTTATTCTCAAACCTTTTTTTTTCAGCTCATGGAGCGGCGAGGTTATGGTGAAGAGTATATAAACCGTTATAAAATGATGACAAGGTCAGTAAGTTTTCTAGTAGGTGTCATCTTACCTTGGATGTCCATTTGGAATTAATGGCTACTCAGTAGTGTTCCATGCCTTACTTTGCTTTCCACTAAAATTTAATGCTCTCTTTGCTGACAGAATTGTTGAACTATATGTACTACATATATATTTTAATGTTTATGCACATATTTCTTTTTTTTTATTTTTCTATGTTTTTGGTTTCCTATTCTTTGTTTAATGGGAGTTAGTGCACTCAGCTGAATTTGAACAGTCACTCTTCTTCTTGTGAATTGCTTTACGGATTGAGTTTGTGTTTGTGTGTGAGAGAGAGAGATTCAAGGATCCGTGTTATTATACACTAAATTTTTGAGGAATGAAAAATGTGAATTTTAAGCTCAAGGTGGGGCCCCATGTAGAATAGGATTAGAGGTGACTTTGGGCCCAACCTGTGAAAGGGCTTGAGGTTTCTGTATAGGCTTGTGACGCTGGCGCTGAGCCTTGGCTGTGGAAATACAAGTGATATAATAACTAAAAGTGAAATGAAAGTTCATGTTACAATGTTGTTGATAACTTATTTCATATGGACATGTTGTGATTAACGCTTGGCACTGGGTATGGGCCCATAAATCTGTGCCCAAGGTTGAGTTGAACCAGATCTAGCATGAGCTAGCATGGCATATTGTTACCAAATTTAGTGGTGTGCCCATGGTTGTACTTCAACATTTCCCCGAAGATTAAGACTTCTCATTCGACTTGTCTCCATCTTTGTAAGGTCTGAGAAGATATTGACTGAGCAAGAATATAGCAAAATTCTAATGAATTTGCCATTTTTTGGGATGGATTTTGTATTGCTGGAGGCATGGTAATAGAGCGAGACTGGACTGCAATATCTCACTGAGACAACACAGACATCCATGGAATTCCAATTTTAGCAAAAGCCAAACAGAGAAAGTGCTGATGGATTAGCACGGATGTTACGTACGTATTACACCAGTAATCCTAAAACAAAGTCCATATTTGGATTTGCAATTTTCCCTATACATATTCTAAACAAAAATAATATTGAAAAGAAGAATTATTTATTGTTTGTGATTTAGTGACAATTTTAGATATGGCTCAGTACTTCTTGTTTGGAAGTAAATCCCATGGTAGGATTTTCAGTTTATATATATATGTAAGAAATAGAAGTCTATGATGCTTTTTTTCTCTCTTTAGCTGTCATAACTTTTTGGTAACTCAGTGCATGCTGGGAAATGTAGAAATAAATTATGCATAGTGATCTAATGCTGCTTCTCCTCATTACCTTCTTTTTAGATTTCACCATCAAAGAGTACCATTGGTCATCCTTGTATGTGGTACTGCATGTGTTGGGAAGTCCACAATTGCTACCCAACTTGCACAAAGGCTGAACTTGCCAAATGTCTTGCAGGTGAATCTGTCTTAACATACTTCTGTAAGGATATCCCTACCCACTGCTTTTTCACACACTCATGTACACTCATGAGCATGCACGCTCACTTGCACAAACATGATATTAACTATTGGAATTGTCTACTAATGTACTAGACATTTTTGTTTGTTAATGTTGCAGACAGATATGGTCTATGAATTGCTACGCACAGCAACAGAGTATGATACTGACTTGGCCTCTTTTACTTATTTATCTGATTTGTACACCGTAAAATCTATAAGAAGTTTATTGTGCATGAAAGTGTAGCTTTCCAGGTGTGAATAGAAGCAGTGCATATTCTCTGCATTTCGGCAAGTCTAGAAATGCATTTCATGATTGTTCTTTTTGTTGATGGTATTTTATTTCAAGCAAAAATGTAATCATTAAAAAGGTGCAATAGTAAAACCATAAAAAGGGAGATAATTGCCAAATTACATGGACTTCAGTGTGAGGAGATTAGGTTTTCTCAAATTTCTGGTTGCATATTTGCATAAATTGACCGTGCTAGTGTGGTGTTTGGTTGGAAAACCATGGCAGAAGAATCATTGACTCACATTTCTTTGATTCTTTCCATATTTTAAGGAAACTTGAACATCTTAAAATAAATTGTGTCAAAATCTGTATGGGGTTATTTGTGATTCATGGATCTTCTGTTTGAAGAAGGGTGGCATCCACTATATAGCCAAAGTTAATGCAGGTATATATGTGTTTTTTTATGGATTCCAGTTTCCAGGCATATACATGTCTTGAGAATTTATTGCATCACATCACACAAAACTAATTATTTGATATGTAGAAAAATTATAAATCTTATATGAGGTTTTGTTGATAGGAGTAGGAAAAAACGGTTACTCTTATGGACTTAGCTACTCTTTGATCTTTTAGTATTGCTTCTGCTTTTATTTTTTATATGGGTATGTGGGTTGATATTAGGGTCCTTTCAGTATGAATGAACTAATAAGTTGGAACTTCTTCTTTATTTATTTATTTTTTTTTTATGTCATTGAAAGAAATAGAGTGGATAAATATTTCTATTTGTTTTATTTCAAGCCAGTTTTGTTTTCATGACAAATATTCATAGCTTTAAATTATGGTTCCTACAATAAAATTTCCAATGCTTTTTATATTTCAATGCACCACACTAGCATGCTTATGCTCCTTTTATCTCATATTTAGTGCACCATTGGCATCTTCCCCTGTATGGGCACGAGATTTCAACTCCCCTGAGGAACTAATTACTGAATTTTGTAGAGAATGCAGAATAGTTCGAAAAGGTAATGTAGCTACACATACATAATGAGGACATTTGCAGCTAATTCAGAGATTTTAAGAAATATTTTATGCATGTAATTTTCATTTCCTTCTAGGTTTGGCTGGTGATCTGAAGAAAGCAATGAAAGATGGCAAACCCATTATTATAGAGGTACGGTTGACCCTTGGCAAACTACGTTGTAGATTTTACTTGTCCACTGATTTACAGTTTCTTTTTTTTTTGTTTTTTTTACTTATCTATTTAAATATAATCAATTCTTCATCAACTTATTTGCCGAGATTGTACAAACTGAATAATCTTAAGACATCCATAAACCAAAGACTGGTAAATTTTTTTAAGGGAAATAGAGTCTGTGCATATGATTATATAAGCAATTGTCATGGATGGAATATTAGACATGGGAATTTGACCACATTTGACAGATTGAAATGAGTTGTATAGAACTTAAAGCCGCTTTCCATCTAAGACTTGAGAAGTCAGTGCTCCCTCTATGCCATTCTTTTTGTCCATGACAAATTCAACATTTTAAGGGGACAAGCATTGAATGTGAGTTCACACGCAACTAATATAGTCTAAATTGTCAAAACTATTATTTTATGTTCTCACTCATTTAAAAAGGATAATATTGTAAAGTCATAAGATTAAGTTCTTTGAGCTTTCAAATTGGACAACTATTTTGGAATTTGGATATCCAAAATGGAATAGTGGTCGAAAAAATGGGACAGGGAATATTGTTGGCATGTCACAGTCACTTGTTTTCCCCTTCCAGAATTAAAAAGATATATAAGACTGTATGTATGTGTTTGTGTGTGTAATAGGCAAATTTCTTATGGATCGTATAAAAACACACTACAATGTAGGGTGGACATAGGCCGGGCCTATACTACATAATATTGAAAGGTGTAACAGTCTGAGCCTGGACTGACCCAATAATGGGCCTCATATTAAATTCCCAAGAAAAAAAGTTAGAAGGCCCAAGCCTGAACATATATAATGTATACCTATATAAATATATTGTATATATAAATTTTGGACCAGGCTTCAAATACTCTTTCCAAGCCTGGCCCTATTGGTCTACTTGTGATCCCAAGCCCTATATATAGCATTGGACTGGCCTGGGGTGCTTTCACAGGCGGTCGGGCCAATGTCTTTCCTCCTACAATAGATAGAAGCAGATTTCAGAAAAAGATACATACCATGTTATTGTTCATACTTCATATAAAGAAACAAATTTGAACAGAAACAAGGAAATTATGAGAAGGAACTAGATGGTTTTCTTCAAAACCAACAAAAAAACAAATGAAGATGCAAAAGAAAAAAAAGGCCAAAGAACCGAATGCTACAAACACATCGGGAAGAGTAAATTTTTGTATGATTCATAAGAGCCACCATCATTTATTTTTCAGTGCTGCAAATGATAACAAAAAGGTTTTTTTTATTTATTTATTTTTTTTAATTATTTGTCTTAAATAAATTTATAATTGACATTTCTGTTGAGCATTACTAGAATCTGGTGCACCTCTGAGTTTCAATTCATGATTTTGCTGATCCACATTGTTTGTTTATGAAAATGGCAGGGTTCACATTTGGATCCAAGTATTTACCTCATGGATGATGAGAATAAATTACCAACTGACATGCCCGCAAAAGCTGAAGAACCAAATTCTGTGACATCAGACGATAAAAATGTGACACAAATGGAAAGTAATTCTTCCATTCTTTGTGATAGTCATAGTGAGAACACAAACCGCTCTCCTCAGGATGCAAGGTCAATGGAGGAGACTAATGCTGACCTGTTGAATAAGGTTTCTGATTGTCTAGAATCAATTAACATTGCTGAAAGTGTTTCTGATGATAAAGGTATACTTTCCCTCTCTATCACGCCCCCACCAAAAAAAAAAAAAAAAAATACAATTAACCCATCCATAAGAAAAGAGTGCATAATCGAATGGATATACTTTCATTCATCAGAGTTAAATTACAAAAGGTATTACATGCATTATACATTCATAAATGGTTATCATGAATCTATAGCATGTAACATTAGTTAATAACAACAAAATAAATGCCCTAAGGGCTTATATCTTTCCAAGATATCACTTGGTTACAACAAAAGAGAGTCTTAAGCTCTATACATGTAGAGTCCTTGGCTTGAATAAGCATTGAAACACAAAAATGACAAAATAGAGCCTCTAGCTCCTAAGTCCTTTTAAGCTACGTTCTTGGAGGAAGTATGTCACCGGTACCTGAAAATGGTTTCCCAAGTAGGGTGAGCCAAAACTCAATAGAAACAATCTAATACAATGTATGAAGTTTAACTAAGATATAAGCGTCAGATAAACGTTCTATATTCATGACCAACTTACATCCTTCCCATGACCATTCAATATTGATATTCACGTCTCGATCCATTCTTATTTATTCATTTCAAGTTAATTCATTTCGTTTCATGTCACAAGACAAATATACATAATTCTCCAAATGATCCAACTAAGACTGCAACTCAATAGTTCTCTATCAACATAATTATCATACAAACACTTCAACCTTGCCATTTTACAAAAATTTTGTCTGTGGGATTCGCACCCATGTATACACAAGATTTCGGAACTTTCACTCTGGACACTCTGACCAACTTAATTATCAATGGAGTCCATCCCCTATCTCCTCCCAAATAATAGAGTACATCCTATTTCTTCTCCCAAAACATTATACATATACAATGTATTTAAATTCGTCGTCATATACAATAACTATCCATATCACATATTCAATACCTTAATTATACCATCATGTTCAATGACAAACTTAAATGATTAGTTTCAATTAGCCTAATCCTCATGCAATTTCTACAACAATCATAGCTATCCTCTACCGATAGCCCAATATAGATATTTCTAAACAGATATACAATATTTATAATAGATAATTTATCAAATTTCCATGATTGAGTAATTAAACAAATCCAACTACACCATTCATTCACACCTTTTCCCAATTTTACATTTTTCACATCAATTTCATTATTTATGCAAAATAATATTCAAGACACATTTAGGGTAAATCTCTCCCTTATTCAATTATTAACCCAAAGGCTAAAATTCACTATTTTAACACAAGATATCCTCATAGTCAAAACCCCATAATCATCTATGGAGCACAACATAGAAACCCCTCTTTCAATTTGAGATCAAACCCTAAGTTTACCCAAAAACTCCCCAAATTTCCACCATTTATACATGACAACAAATAACTAGGTTAAAACTCATACTAAAGTATAGAATATCTCTACCTCAAGCTAGAAGACCGAGCAAAGTAAAGATGAAACCCCAACAATGACGAACCCACCTTCCAATCAGATGAAAATGAAGATCTTGAGAAGCTCCACTTTTTTCTCAAAGGCACTAGGGTGAAAAGATCAATAGATCTAGATGAAATCTTAAGAGAGAATGTAAGTTTTAGAGAGAGAAAGTGTAGATCTAGGTTTTTGGACAATTTTAGAGAGAGAAAGAAATGAAAAAGTGAATCAAAACACCATCTTCACGGATTGTTATACATGCAGTCCGCTCGAGCGTAGAAAGTCCCGCTCGAGCATCAGACACAAAGTTTCACTCGAGCGTGAAAAGTGGCGCTCGAGCGTAGAATACGCACTTCTAGAATATTTGCAGATGAAGGTTCTTGCTCGAGCGTCCAATGCATACTTTCAGTATTTTCAGACCTACAAAAGAAATACTAAAGTTGATGAATCCCACTCAAGCGCAAGAATGGTTGCTCAAGCGGATGGGCAAAATTTGTGATGCTCGCTCGAGCAGGAGAGCCAAAATCTAGGCAATAAAAGGTTTGGAAAAAGGGGCAATCAACCTGTTCCAAATGCACAATCACAACCCGAAAGCCAATCCTAAAGGGATACAAGGGGAAACAAGAGGTAAACAACAATATGAAAGTATTAAATCTGAGCCCGGAACATCACAAGAGTTGGGTAAAAACCGGGATTGCTATAACCTCTCCCCCTTAAAGAATTTCGTCCCCAAAATTTACAATTGAAGTTTCAAAATCAAGTTTAGCCAACTTCCAAAATGATTACAAATCAATACTCAACATCATGACCCATTTACCGGTCATTCATTATTATTAACTCGATGCACAAGTTTCAACAGTGAATTACAATTCATGTATTCCCAAAACATTTACAATGTTTATAATCAACTCAAGTTCCCAAAATGTATACAACATATACAATGTTTCCAAAAATGGTACAACACATAATATTCCATATTTTCAAGATATATGTAATGCTCATTTGAATCCAAGTTCCCAAGTTATCCATAACATATATAATGTTCATATTAACTTGTGTTTCCAAAACATATTCAACATATACAATGTTTTCATACTTTAACACATGCAATGTGTTAACATTTCATGAACGAAATTAGAATCTTAATATATGCTCAAACATCAACAAATAAGTTCGGATATTTCTCTCGGATTTCCAATTCACGCTCCCAAGTTGTTTCCTCAACCCCGTGATGTTTCCACAATACTTTGACCAAGGGAATTGTCTTGCCTCGCAAGACTTGGTTCCGTCTATTCAAGACACTCACCGGTCTCCCCTCATAGGAGGCATCCTTATCTACTTCTAAGTCGGTCCAATCCAATACATGTGATGGATCCGACTCATACTTCCAAAGCATACTAATATGAAACATGTTATGCACTCCAGAAAGTTGTGGCAGCAACGCCAAACGATAGGCAACCTCCCTAATCCGCTCAAGGATCTCAAAAGGATCTATAAACCGAAGGAATAACTTCCCACTCTTCCTAAATCTCATCAAACCTCGCTTAGGTGATATTTTCAAGAAGACATGATCACCCATTTCAAAAGACAAAGGCCTCCTCTTACGGTTGGCATAACTCTTTTGGCAACTTTGGGCTATAACCAATCTCTTGCAGGTAAGTGCAATTTTCTCCGTCGTTTCCCGCACCAACTTTGGGCCCAACAAAGGTACATCACCCACCTCGGCCAAACACACTAGAGACCTACAAGGTCGACCATACAAGGTTTCAAATGGTGCTATACCAATACTCGATTGGAAGCTGTTGTTATAAGCAAATTCTACTAAGGATAAGTGCCTCTCTCACGACCCCTTAAAATCAAGGACACAGCCTTGAAGCATATCTTCAAGAATCTGGATAGTACGCTCGGACTGTCCGTCAATCTGAGGATGATATGCAGTGCTAAAGGTCAATCTAGTGCCCAAGGCACTCTGTAAGCTCTGCCACAACCGAGCTGTGAAACGCTGATCTCTATTCGAAACAATCGTCGCAGGGACCCCGTGCAACCTTATTATGCCTCTGATATACAAGTCGGCAAGATAGTCTACCGAATCACTCACGCGTATAGGTATGAAGTGCGCAGACTTAGTTAGCCGGTCAACTACCACCCAAATGGCATCACAACCCTATTGACTCCTTGGAAGGCCCACAACAAAGTCCATCGTGACATGCTCCCATTTCCACTCGGCCATAGGTAAGGGTTGTAACAAACCCGCTGGCCTTTGATGTTCGGTCTTCACTTGCTGACAAGTAAGGCACTTCGATACAAACGCGGCTACATCCTTTTTCATACCCCTTCACTAAAACTGGCGACTCAGGTCATGATACATCTTTGTGCCTCCTAGGTGCACCGCAAAGCGTGAATGATAAAACCCTCGGAGTATTTTCTCTCGGCAAGACTCTGGCACAAAAAACGGTCACGATATCTCACACTCTGGTCGGGATACACAGTCAAGCCTCTTTCTACTTTCCTACTGGAGGTCTTCTTCCGGAGGGATTCTACCTCTAGGTCACCCTTTTGCGCTTCTAACACTCAATTTACAAGTGTAGGTTGTGTGATTACTGAAAACAAAGTCGCAGATTCGATGGACTCACTCAGGTGTAGATCAAACTCCCCTAGAGTACCCAACATTCCCTATTCTCGGATGGCGATATAAGCTACGCTATTAATTAATTTCCTACTCAAGGCATCGGCCACAATATTGGCCTTCCCATAATGGTAATGTAACTCAAAATCATAATTCTCTATGAATTCCATCCACCTCCTGTGTCTCAAATTTAAGTCTTTCTATGCAAAATAAACAGATACTTCAGACTTTTATGATCAGAAAACACTTCAAATCTCTCACCATACAAATAGTGTCTCCAAATCTTCAAGGCAAAAATCACCGCTGCTAGCTCTAAGTCGTAAGTAGGGTAGTTCCTCTCGTGGGTTTTCAACTGCCGCGAGCCATAGGCACCTCTTGCATTAAAACACAGCCCAAGCCTTCCCGTGAGGCATCACAATATACTGAATAGCCCAAACCCCTCTCCGGAATAATTAAAACTGGAGCAGTGGTAAATCTAACTTTAAGTTCCTGGAACGACTTCTCACAAATCTCATCCCACACAAATTTGACTCATTTTCTCGTCAACCTAGTCAAAGGTGCAGCTAGCCTAGAGAAATCCTTCACGAACCGACGGTAATACCCGGCCAACCCCAAGAAACTATGGATTTTAAAGGCATTCTTAGGTTGTACCCAATCTTGCACTGCCTCTATCTTGGATGAGTCTACAGTCAATCCTTCTCCGGATACCACATGGCCTAAGAACTTATCCTCTTTCTGCCAGAATTCACACTTCCCGAACTTAGCATATAACTTGTGGGCTTTAAGTAACTCAAGTACTACCCGTAAATGTTCCTTGTGTTCCTCCTCTGAAGGTGAATAAATCAAGATGTCGTCCACGAAGACGACCACAAAACGGTCTAGGAACTCACGAAAAATCCGATTTATCAAATCTATAAATATCGTTGGAGCATTGGT